AAACGATTCACCTACTAATTAAAAACATAATTGTTTATGGATTTTACAATTCTGGAAAGTTATGGAAACAATCAGTAACAGTTTGTAGAAAAAGTTAAGCTCAGTTGCTTTGCCTGATCATGACCCTGTTGTTGCAGTGAGTCGCAGCTCCATTAACATGAATGAGGGGGCTTCACACCGCTTTTAGGAAAGAACAGTGAAAAGGTTGTTTTTCAGCAACTTCATACTTTCCTGGCAAAAAAAAAGAAAACAAAAAAAAAACAAAAAAACTATTTCTGTAATTCCTTCAGTCTGGATTCAGACCACACCACAGCACTGAGTCCGCTTGTAAAAGTTTTAAACCACATTCGTACACGCTATTGACGCATCTCAGTGCTGCGTTGGACGAGGCTGATCACATGATGCTGCTGGAAAAATGGGTGGGACTTTCTGGCACTATTTACAATATAGGGACTACTTTGTGTCAAATTGTGATTAATAATCTGAGCATACAAACATCACGTGGCGTTCCTCAAGGCTCCGTTCTGGGGCCTCCTCTTCCTGAATACCTGAAATCTGCAGAAACTCTCAGCACATTTAAATCAGGACTGAAAACATTTTTGTTTCTTCTTTTTAATCTTTAACTATTTATTAAACTGTTTATGTGCTTTCTTCTGCTTTTTATTGTCCCTTAAATACAATTAATGTCTTATTTTTAATGTATTTCTATTCAATAAGCAATATGACAATATTTACTGATGAGACGATATACTCTCCTTTTTTCCATACCATTAATGTTGTTGTATCTCTCCATATAATATCTTTACCAGGATTGTTGAATGGTGATATTTCAATAATTTGTGTGTTTTGAGGTATTTAATTTGCTGGATTAGTTAAAATAGACTCACTCAGAAAATTTACTTCAATAATATATATTGATGTTTTTATGCTGTTTGTTTTTTTTTTTGTTTTGTTTATTTGTTTGTTTTTTAGTGGGTGAGGGATGAGTGAATTCAACATCTATGTTATAAGATGCTCTGTATGTTGTGTGTGTTGACTGTTATTTTTAAGAATTGAAAATCATAAAAAAATAATTAAAATGAAATAACTGTGTAATTATAAAACCAATCTCTTACCAGCAATGGCAGAAAAAATATCCCCAAAAGTGTCAAATGGCTTATAACAAAGAAAAAACGTATATTTCATAAAATATAATTTCCAGTCAGCTCAGGGAAATAAAAGGCTCGTTAAAGAAGGAACGAGCTCCGAGTTGTGTCTGTAATAACCACCCTGATGATTATGCACTTGCACACTCACATAAGCAGAGAAACAATCTTCCCTACAGCGCCGGGAACAGAGTCGTCTGTGTCACGCTCTTTATTGACTGTGGAGAGAGCGGTGTTGTGCTGCCGCGCTGAGGGCCGGCAGCCAGTGGCCCGTTAGCCAGAGCAGTGAAGCAGGGAGTCAGAACAAGAACAAAGGCCGCCTAGGTATTGATGTGGCCCAACCTCTCGGGGGCCTGGGGCCTGGGGCCAGGGGCCGGACAGGCCGATCTCCAGTGATAGATAAGGGGGGTTAACTATCTGATGGATGTGGAGAGCCGGCTGCACGCTGGACAGAGGATAGCCGTCCTGTCTGGGCCGTCTGCTCGCTTCACTTTTCACTCTCATTTGTAATTTTTAAAGATTCATTTTGTCGGTCTTTTATTTCTCCTCTCTCCGCTGTGACCTGACGTGTTTGCTCTGGACTGAGCCGCCTGTCTCTCCTCTCACTTTGCTGCTCCTCTGGCAGACAGGTGCTGGCGTTCTGACAGCCTGGGATGGCTTAGTCATTATATATCATTCAAGGTGTATTTGACTGACAGTTGCTTCATTCACCCGGCACTACACTTACCCCATCCTTTCTCTGCCTCTCTTTGATTACTGACCCAGTCATGGCGCCACGGTTTCTCTTTACCAAACGCCTGATGCTCCGAAGCCTTCAGTCCGGCCCCTCTCTCAGAGCAATTAGATCTATTGACGAGGCAACTGTGGCTGGCCTGTCATGGGCCTCACGGTCCCAAGAGAGCGGCCGGCTCAGCCAGTCAGTCAGTCTCCACAATTAGCACATTATATGACAGGTATGGAGGGAGGGAGGGAGGGAGGCAGGGAGGAGGGGGGGGGGGCTGTGACCAAAAAAGCATAGCCACTGTCGCTGCCATCACAGCCAGGCTCAAAGGAGCCAGCCAGAAATCCAGGTGGTAAATTATTCACCCGTTTGTTTGCTTCAGAGCAACTCTGCGGTGAGAGAAGAGGTGTCAGAAAATATACCTTTCTGAAAAACGTCTGAATAAAAAGTCTGAACGTCGCTAATGAGGGTGTGAAAACCTCACATTCATCAAAGTGTGGACGCTGTTATGATAAGGATTAGAGAAGTCATTGCATTATGAGCCGGCTCCGACACCTCGGGCTGAAAGGGCCCATTCACATGCTCGGCTAATAGACTAACGGGCACATTTGGAGACAGGAATCCTGTGATTGCACCTCGCCTACAGAGGATTCCCCGAACGCTCAGACCTTGGCTCTGCGCTGCTGTTAGAAAGCCAGATCGTACTACAGCATCTCCTCTGTTTGTGAGTGTACTGTATAATGCGTGTCTCTTTCTTCCCCTTATCTCTCGGAGGCAGCGCTGTGCGTTGCCCTCCTCTGCGGGGCTGAGTGCTGCCAGTAGCTGCTGCAGATGGACAGGTGGAGATAGTGACCATGAAGTGGCGCCACCGCTGCCTTTTATCATCCCTTCCTGGAGGCTCCGGTCTGGCCTGACCCCGGCCCTTCCTCTCCCCTCTTCCTATTCCTTTCCCTGCATACTGCATTTTTAATCAGCCTGGGTCATCCAATATAGAGCCACGAGACCGGAGAGCATGGCCTGTCAATCAAGCGCTTACCACCTCTTCGCCTTGCACCACCTTTGCTCGGCGATTCGCTGAAGGGGATATTTATAGAGACTTCTTCCCCTCATTCCTCCACTCTCTCACTGTTTCTGTTTCCCAGTCTAATAGTAAAAACTCGCTCTGTCTTGTGATCAGCTGCATCAGCAATGTAAATTAGACCTAGATAGCACAATTTGTTCTGCAAGTAGGAACTGTCTTTTCAGTTTCCTCCGCAGCAGCCTGATCTTCATGCTCGGCGAGAGGCGGCTGGACACGCGGCGTACGGCTGCGCTGTAATTCATCCTAAGGTCAAATCGACTCTTTCTCCTGGATCACTTCTCAGCTGCGGTGCCAAGCCCCCGGAGGAAGCGGCGGAGGAGAGGGCTGGCAAAGGGGACGCACGCTGAGAAACAGGATGTTGGAGAGAGAGTCCGCGCTCGTGCGCAAAGCACAGAAATGGAAGGTGGCACTCCAAGAGCAGCTGGGTCGGTGGCGGTGGTGTATAGGACGCCGGGCCCGGAGGGGAAATGGCAGAAGCACAAGAAGTGGGTAGAGGGCTGAGCAATTATGTTTATAGCATCTTGACCTTGCATCAGTTCACACTGGGCTGATTTGGGGAACAAAGAGCGGCGGCGGTGTTATCTGGCCATCGTTAATTGGATATAAATGTTAATGCAATGAATCTCTCTCATTATGCAGCCACTCTCTCTGCCCCGGCTGGCAGAGAGAGTGGTGGAATAGGCCGACGCCCGTGCCCGTCACTCCGACGCGTCCTCATCGCTCTGACACTAGGAGAGACCATTAGCACTAATTTGAGAAAATATCCTACCAGTTAGACCTGGAGCAGTGCAGAAGTCAACAGAGACGAGCAGAGAGATTAGGGTAAACACAGCTACCACTTGCCCCGGAGCACCCGCAAGAGCTAATTACAGATTTTGTGTGTTTATAATTATGGAGCGGGCTCAAAGCGGCAGCCTGTTTCAGGGGGTGGATTGATTCCGTGTGTGGCCATCCGTGTGCACTCTGCGCTTTCACGAATTGGCCTTTCAGACGGCAACCTAAAGTGCTCGCCGCTCTGTACTTGTTATTGAATTAGAGGAAGTTTAGGGTGTCAGCTAATTGGTCTGTGTGTGGCATCTTGAAGCATTGTGCTAGCATGTCCTGAAGCAGGTGAGTGGCACGTCCGGCAAAGACCGGATTCAAAGTGCAGCACCGATATTTCTGTCAGGACTCAGAGGACACAAAATGGTAGAAATATCTTAAAGAAAAGAGAGTGAGCGACCTGGTCTCTGCTCAGCATGTGGCACCAATAAGAGGCTGAGGACCTTTCAACAGAGCCAATGTGAAACTCAGCAGGGAATAGAGGTTACCCCCTTGACTAATGATGCATACAGTACATACAGAAAACATACATGGCCCACATACATGTGCAACCAAAACATACAGAGACCTATATTTTATGATGCATACATGTGATACACATTTATAGTTCATGCAGTTCAGGCAAATACATCTAAACCATCAATGCACGAGGCATCTAACCTCCGTTTAAAACAGATACATTTTCTGCATCTTGAGGTTAATATTCAATGGAGAATATTCAAATCTAAAAAACTTTGCAAAAGAAGTTGCAACAAAATTTAGTCATTGTTGATTCTGCACTTCCTGTGCGTTTAATACGCCAGGATAATCTGAAAGCTACAACGTGTAGGATTTTTACACATTCATAAGGTGCGTACTTGCAAATGTGAAAACGAGTAATGGAGACGTGAATAAAAAAATAAACTAAAGTAAATGCACACGCTTGCATGAGGTGGTTTTTCCGGATTATTCCACAAAGTAATATTTTGCAAAATCTTTAAAAGGAAACACATTTTTCACATTGGAGTCACGGCACCTGCAGAATCAGGTCCGAGCAATTTTGTTATTACCATGATTTCTTTAAACACATTGAACTGCCTTGAACCATATTCCTGTATGTGTAAAACACAGGTCCAGAATGACTTCAGAGCTTGTCTGTATTGTTTTACATGTTTCCACTGACTTAATATGCATTTATGTTTTCTTGAGCACAGCTTGATAACACATAAAGAAACTTTTATTCAGCTCTTACCGGCCAGAAGATACTGATGGTACTGCACCAGGTCGGAGGCCAGCACCAAGGGGTGGTTGGAGTTGAAGGGCGGCTGCAGCTCGTTCCACTGTGGAGTCCTGCTCGAGAAGACAAATCATGTCTGAGACCTCAGGAACCAGACACACTTGGTCTGAGATAAAGCGCTCAGCGCTCAGCACGGCGGCGGCGGCGTTACCTGGCCAGAGTCCAGCAGGCCCTCGGGCAGGTGCTCAGCTCCAAAGGTGTATCGTCGCTGATCTTTTGAGCGGTGCTAATTGGCCGAGGCTCCAGGACATGCTCCACCAAGTTACCGTAACAACTGATGATGTACAGCGAGTCGACAACCGACTGTCTGGACTGATCTGTGAGGAGGAAGAGAGAGAGAAGGAAACACTGCTTTAAACTCTACTAAAGATTATAATAAAATAAAAAAACTGCATTAAAAAACTCCACTGCTCTACATTTGTCAAGATCTTGTATCCAGTAACCATTTGGTTTTTCACTCTGGTGGAGACACGTTTGGACTTTGACAGGATACCGACTCTGGAAAATGTGAAAAGCACCTGTGACCAGGGTCTAACCTTTCTCTCTTTTCATGTTGGGGTTGGTGATGAACCAGGAGCGGGACGAGGCGAAGAGCGCGGCCACGCAGAACTCTCCTCCGCTGGACTTGCTCGGGGAGATCTGAGGAGGCGGCTTAGCTTTGCTTCAAGAGGGAAAAAAGCACAAAGTTGAGATAAAGCAAACAACTGTCCCGCGGTGTCCGGAGGTCCCAAAGGTGCTCCCTGAAGTGTTTGCACATTTTAACATGTCAAACTCTAATTATCTGTGATTGACTGGTTTAAGTACCACGACCAAATACTCCAAGCTTATGTCAAATTACTGGTTTGTCAGAACTAAGACCACATTTCCCATGAACCTTGTTGCTTCTCTTCCAGATAAACACTGGCGTTTTAACTTAGTCACATTTCCTGTTCAGTAAAGAAATCCAGGAAATTTCCCTCCAAAAAAAAGAACCTGTGACACAAAGTCTAAACTGGATGTAGAGGCCGTTAAAGTTGTGTACAACAATTAGAATAATGTTTCTGAATTCATGTGGTCCATTGAAATTACAGCTGAATAATGAAGGAAGAGCGTTACCAGGATTAAAGGAACACCTTTGGAGCTGAGCACGTGAAAACTACACCTGCAACATCCGAGAACAAATAAACACAAACTTTATAGAAGTGCTTTGCATGCAGGGAGCTTAGCGAGGGGAGGTTGAAATGCCTGCAAATAAAACAACCACCTCAGCAGCAGAAAATGAGAAAATCAACTTTGCACTGACACAAATGTAGATGCATGAAATATCCAGGGAAATAATCAAAATCAGTCCAAAACTGAAAAACAAAAATGTCCACCTGCACAGTTCGAGCAACTTCCTGTCTGAACAGGACGGGGTGTTTGACTCAGAGTGTTCAGGTAGAAGGAAACACTCATTTTGATCAAACCGTACGACTGTAGGTAAGGACGCGCACTTACGCAAGAACTTACAAAACAGCAGGTTTTTAACCAGAAAGAGGCTCCACATTTGGCTTCCATTGTTGAAATGTGCACGTGTGACTAATAAACAATGGCACATGATCGATTACAGGCCGCATATTTTCCCTCCAGTGAGTTTTCCGAATGTATAGTCGGTATAACTCCGTATTTCCTCCTTGCATCAGTGGCACACCTGCTCCCTCCAGATGGTAGGAGCCAATAAACCTTCGCACTGGATCCACATGATCTGAAGGATACTCTGAATAAATACATACAACCGTTATCACTCAATCCAACGTGCACCTCGCGACGGCAGCATCCGGGCCGAACTCCCCTCGCCGCTCGACTTCGCGTTGGCCACGGGAGAAAATTTATTAGAAGTTATTGGATTATTCAGCATGTCAGGACTGTTTGAGAGGAAGCGGACACAGAAAGGGTTTTCAGCTGCAATAGTGCTCCCCATATGGTACTGATCAGAAAACAGTAGCGAGGTCTGGTATTATTGTCTGGCCTTATAACCAGCCTGGACAGTAAAACGTGGTTACAGCAGATCAGGTATGAGGTGGGCTGAGGGCTTGAAGACCCACGGTGGTGTCACACACTCCCCGAGGGCTGCTTAACCTCGACCTTTGGAAACCACACTGGTATGAAAAGCAACACACTCACTTCGGTCTACGCTCACTTGTTGGGGGGGGCGAGGATAAAAACAGACTAAGAGCTGGATGCAGAGCTGCACTTTCTCCATTCTGTGACTCCGAGTTAAAAAACTTTCTGATGCAGAACCTCCTACAGGTGTTTCATATTTTTGGTTTATGTGGAACAAATATAAGCAATACGCACACATAAAAACATAACACACAGCAGGGAAACTTAATGTTTCTGATTCAGAGCACCCGGCACCAGCCCCATGAGGAAGCGTCCGAACAATGAGCGCCGTCTACAGGCAAGGAAAGGAAAGGTCTCGACTACTTTGCCACTTGTGCTCTCTCCAGCCAATAAGAGTTATGACTGCAGATGTTTTTCTTCTACAGCTGCTTTTTCTCTGTGTGGCATGCTGGGATGTGCTCTGGTCACCATTGACTCTGAAAGGGGGGTAAGAATGGAAATGAAAAACTAAAATGCATTTGTACTATAAGGAAAAAAAGTAGAAGCTGGTCAGGGTCAGTCTTTCTCCCTGAGTATTTAAACTAGAAAAGTGGGCGTCACTGAAACAGTTATCATGTGTTCGTCACGCCTAGAATACAATTAAGATTTAGGCTCAACTACAGACTTTTTCAGAGATGTTTAGACAGGGAAATAAATACATTCAGAAAATAACAGTATTTACAAAATCTGGGTTTAAAATGTATCAAGCATTAATGTTGATTTGTAATATTTTTTTTACGTCTTATTTTTATGTTTTGCATTTTATTAATTAAGTTATTTTACATATTTATTTTTATCAGATACACAGGTGTGATAAAGATTAAACCTACAGCTGTTATTGTCGCTGCCTGCAGGTGGTGCAAGCATTAAAAATGGCAGCTGCAGTTGTGTTCTTTGCCTGTAGGTGGCAGCAGTGACACGTCTTCATCCACAGGTCTAAAATGCTGCTGTTACTTAACAATCCAATAGGCAGCGGCGGTCGGCAGGTAGAGAATACTACACAACGATCCTGATGAAGTTGGTCGCCAATGAACCAAAGATCCAGACCTTCATTGTTGGTAGATCAGCTAACCTTCGCACTACCAGGTGCTGACAGAAAGTGACGTTTCTGTTTCTCAGCACCTCATTATTTACTCAGGGAGGGGGGAGGGGGGGGGCAGGCAAAAGGAAAAGGTGAAGGTAGCCATAAGAAAGGCCACAACACAACTTCTGTAGCTTGTATTTATTAGTGCTGGGTCAAGGGGAGAAGGCTGAATGACCAAATATCCACAGTAAGCCCTGTCTGTGAAAGGAAGATGAAGCGGGAGATAAAGTCACACTCAGGATATTGCCTTGGCTTCTTCTCTTCCGAGCTCTTCCTCAGGCCTATTTGTCTGCATCCACAAGATAAAGCATTTAACAAACAGGTACAGTTAGCTAGCCGCTAGCTACCAAGGAGTGTTTCCATTGCTGCAGTGTTTTCCCTAAGAACGTCCCCTTTCTTCTGCCTTTCAGTCTGAACAATCCTGGACCAGAGGAAGGCAAATTAAAAAGAAAATAAGACTGAAAGAAATGAAAATAGACATAAAACATGTAAGATGTGTGTAATATTTAAACTTTCAAGAACCCTACTGAGGTCCTTCAAAGTGGAAATGTCTGTAAGCATGTTTAATGGATCAGGAATGTTTATTGCTTAAGAAAAGGAAAAGTATTCCCGACTTTGACTGTGTGTTAGAGATCTGCAAAGTCTAAGTTCTTCTTTGGTGAGGTGTTTAATTGCCGTGAACCCTGGTGTTCCATCTCTCCCGTTGCTGGAAAATATGTTAAATCCTCAAAGCCTGTGTGGTTCACTGGTTTCAATAACCCAGGAAACACAAATCCCATTTCAGAGCAAGCTGATGTTGGTTTTCGAGGGCGAGAGCTCAGGGCTGAGGAATATACCACACAGCGACTTACGCCGTGTACTGGAAGATATTCTAACCTCCTCACAGTCTCCGTGTTGACTTTGGAACATAAACGGAAGATGAATAACAAATCGGGGGAAAACATTGTTTAAATCTGACAGATTTTCTTGAGGGGAGGACGACAAATCAGCGAAAACACGACTTTTAAGAGGCACAGATGAGGTTATTATTTGGAGCCATTAGGGAAGGACTGACCAACTAAACCTTTACACACAGTCCGGACTCTAAGTATCTGGACAGTTACACATTGTTTTTCTTCTTTAGACTCTGAAATATGTTTAGTATACAATATTCTATTTCAAACTGAATGTGTTTTGTTTGTTTCAGGTCACATCCCTGTTTATCCAGAGTCAGATAAAATATGAAGCATCTGTGTGAAAATTTTGTCCTTGACCTTTGACCACAAAAAACTTAATCCGTCCATCCTTGAGTACAGGTGAACGTTTGTGCCAAATCTGAGGGGATTCTCTCAAGGCGTTACGGAGATATCACATTCACAAGGCTAGAATTGTGTTTCGTGAGGTCACAGTGACCTTTGACCTTTAACCACCAAAATCTAACCAGTGCATCCTTGAGTCCAAGTGAATGTTTCTGCCAAAGTTGAAGAAGTTCTGTCACGGCGTTACTGAGATATCGTCTCCATGAGAACGGGACGTAAAAACTATAATCCGACGCGGAGGCATAGAAAAGAGTAACTGTCCAAATACTTATGGCCTGGACCTGTGTATATACCATCACAACATACATATACATGTATACAATCACACACAACAATGTGTGTACTTGTAAGCCTCTGACGCAGGCTGTAACACTGCGGCCTCGCAGCTGATGAGCCCCGGTCTGCAGCTCTTTGAAGCGGCCCGAGCTCGCGCCGAGCGTGCCAACAGAACCAGAGATCACAGCTCGGCTCTCGTCTCCTCCGGGTACAGCGACCGCTGAAGTTTATTCATCTGTGTTTTAAATCATCAGTTTCCTCTTGATCTCAGTTGAAGTGGCTTAAAAGTGTTGAGGTTTCCACCCTTACGACAGAGAGGCACAGCTCCAGCAGACGAGGGCCTGATTCTGCTCTTCATATGGTGGAGGGGGGGGGGGGGCAAATGGCACCGTGTTACAAAAAACGTAACCTAATATCAATAAATTATGAAACATAAATATACTAACAGGGAATTGGGAGCAGGGGGGGTGTGGGGGGGGTGAAGGGGGGAGATGGATGTCACTGCAACGGCAAATCTCTTTTCTCTCCTCCCTCCACAAGATTTCCTTTTGTACTATTGCCTTTTAGCAGGAGTGGAATCCATTTTCTTTGCAACTTTAATTCACTGAAAAGACTACTCACATGTCATTTCCACTTTTAATTTAACAAATGAGGACTCTTGACTGAGCTAATAGCTTTTCCTCAAGGGCATAATTCAATCTGTGACATCAACCATCAAAGTCCCTTCGCATTACGGCGTCCGGGGCTAACGTGAGGCGCCTCCGAGGGGGGATGGAGGTCCAGTGGCAGCTTCCATTTATTTCCAGGGCCGTCGCGGTAAACAAATACGATAGAGCTCGCTTGGGCCCGGCCGGCCGGTGACAAAGAGCTGCGCGGCTGTTA